AGAGAAATGGTAGAAAACTAGACGCTCATATAAGAGAAGATCGAGATGGGAGTAACACGACCGAACCCAAACCGCGTGCAACAGAACGAGAGGAAAGTCGCTGCAGGAGGCGTGGCCTAACGTTCAGTTGCGTCCAATCGTCCAGTCGAGCCCATTCCTTATTGATTCAGGGGCTTGCCTGCTAAAACACCCTGTATATTGGTGAAATGTGAGGAACCAAGAATGTAACTGTCGACAACAAAAGACGGACAGGACAAAGGGAAATGCTGGGATTAGAGGGAACAAACTCTGGCATCGGGCCAGGGCAACAAAAGCAATCGAATATCCGAGACAACCCGGAAATAGACTAACTGTTTGGTCTAAATGTTAAAACTTTGCCTAAACTTCCCGAATGAAAAAAGAAAAAAATATCTACCGTCATTACAGCAACAGTGTTTTCCAACTTGATGAAACAATGCCACTTTTGACTAGCTGCTGATCAAAATAGGGACGCGAGGAGACAAAGTTTCTTATCAAGTAGGCTTGAAGCTTGAATAAAACGAGAAAATATTCGCATGATATTACTCAAAGGCTACCAGCATAAGATACTTTAGTTATCTTTATAGAGGTTTAATGTCGTAATTTTTCGCTCATCAGGTTTCGGTAGCGTATATCGTTTCGAAGGCACATCAATCAACCGGAGGAAAATAAGTATGATAAAATGGTAGCCGGCCCAATATTACAAGTCGAGATATTTCATCGTTTGCCCTCATTTTAGTGTTGCAACTTTATTCGAAAGTGTTCGTGACAAATTGTCCAATTTTTCAGGCTGGTGAGACCGAACTAATACATTTAAGCGGATTGGCTGCACTGGCTTATGATCCCAAAAGACAGTAAAGCCCATCTCCGTATTTTTCGGACAAGTATGGCTCACAGTCTTTTCACCCCTCATTTACTGCTTTCTGGTTATGAGCGAAATTGTTGTTCTTAATGGCTTTAAAAGCTCCAAGTATGGACGTTAACTTTTATGCCGGATTCATTGAAAATTGCTTAACTTTTACAACGCTCAACTGGTTATGGATGTTGAATTTTCAGGACAAAGGAACACTATTTCCCCCTTATACAGTGCGACCCGTTTAAAAAAGGGACATAATATTAACGAAGGATTTTTATTAAGTTCTGCTACTAAGGCATAGGTACAATGATTCCGACTCCGAATTGGACATGCAGCAAAATTAGTCACCACCCTGTATACAGAGTGATTCGCAGGTATTTAAGGGCAACAAAAAAAATAGTGAAAGTAATAATTTGCGCAAAATACTGAGTTATTCGCTAAAAACTAAATTATAAATTTGGCAACACTGTTGTTGATCGCGGTTTTCACATTAACATTGCGTAAGTTTATGCATACGATTTATGTGTGTGTTGGGAGAGCCCAGTTGAACAAAAACATTCTTCTGAGGCCCATATTGACTAAGCTGTTAAAAATCTGGGATATAGAAGATTTGTACTATGGTTTCGTTATCTTCAGAGGAAGATGTCTTCTTAATATGCTGATAAATTCAAGTTGTTACTGGGTTTCGCGTGGAATTTGCGATTTTTAATAGAGAGCGCGCAGTTGGGTAACATTTTATAGTTTGAGACTGATATTTATTAGCTAGTAAAAATAGCGCTTAACGGAGATTTTTGGGATGCTCCCTGTACATTTTAGAGCAAGGTATTGTCTTTAGATCGTAAGTTTGGCAAAAATCAGCAATTTGGACTATTTTAATGAAAATTGCAGCATCTTTACAGAGGCGCCTCCTCTTCAACTGCTGAAAATTGCAAATTGCTGTTTTCCTTACTTTGGAAGAGGCTTAGATGTTCAGTGAGCTGGTAAAAATGCGGATTATGTGCGATTTTTATGAAACTTCCTGCATTTCTTCATGTAACGGTCTTCCGCAGATTCTAAAAGTTCCAGCTTGCTACTTGCGTTAGTTCGGAAGATGCGAGTTTTTAAAGGAGGTAGCGACTTGCGTAAAATTGACCGTTTTGAGACCAATATTCACCACGCGCGGGCAAAAATGAGAATTCCGGGTTATTTTCGTGCATTTTTCAGAACCGTTAGAACCAAATGCCTCCTTACATTGATGTAACTTTCAAATTTCCACAAGTTTTAATTGAGCAGAGGCGAATTTTTAGAGATTTTTAAGACGTTTATGAAAGGCTCAGCGTCTTTAGACTAAAGAAACCCCCTCGAGCGGATGAGTTGCTTAATAGTTTGCCATCTTCCCGCTTGTAATTGCATATTTCAAATATTTTCCTATTATTCATAGGCAAACATGTGCGTATTTACCAGAAGAGAGACTAAATCACAAAGT